TTTTTGATTAGCCTAACCAGATAAGCTTTTCACTTCGTTTCTCTTTTTGTATACGTTTTTTATATCCCAAAGAAAGTCAATAGAAGAAAAATAGAAAATTATAATAATTATGAAATCTAAATGAGGTGATAAAGTTCAGACTCATTATTGTTTCGCTTCCTGAAGAAAGAATGAAACAAAAAAAAGAATAGAGAGATTCTAATGCGATATAAAATGTTAAGATGAATAGTTTTTGATTACGATTACGTGGAAAAAAAGGATTGTAATTTATTATGAGTAATGTAGTGTTTAAATCAACTAAACATTCTGACTATTTTCAATGTTATTTTTTTTTATAAATTAATTACAAAAGAAACGTCTCTACTATAAAACTAAGGCTTCTATTTAAATGTTAAGTAAATTTTAATAAAAACTAACTAAAAAATTCAATTTTTGCTAAGTATTTTATTTAAATTCTACGTGAAAAATTTTGATTTTCTAGGCAAAATATTGTCAATCTCTAGATGAATATACAATTTTTTTGTTGAGTAAAGAAATATAAATATATAAGTAAAAAATTTAATTATGCAATTATTGTATTAATAAAGATTTATTAAAATAGTACCGATTCCATTGTTTTTCTTGTTTAATGTCCATTTCAGCTTGTACATCATCAAAAAAAGCTTTTGTCTTTTATTCATTGAAATTTATATTGAATTCTTTTCTTTTCTTGAATATCTTTCTGGTCGATTTCCACTTCGTTGTCCAATTCTGATGAGCTTTCTTTGCAATTGTTTTTAAAATCGAAATAAATTTTCAATGGCACATATATTATCAATAGATACAACACTCACAGAAGGGCAACAAGAGAGAGACAATGTATATTTCATACCACCAGAAAAAAAAATCCATTTTGTCTCTGATTATTTTACTTTGTCTTCAATCATAAATTACTTAATAGTAATAATTTTTACTTATCGAATTTGTTTTATAACTATGATTTCAATTTATTAACTTAATGAAAAATATTTTACTTGTATATTAATTATTTAACTTAGCAGATATTTTTAATTGACTGAACGTTCAATAATTCCACTTAGCATTTAAATTATTTACTGATCAAATACAAATTTTATTTAGCAAAAAAATTGTTGTCAAAAACTAATGCATTATTGTATTAGCATGATATGGGATGAAATGATTCTATATTTGTAGTATAAAAAAATAAGATTGAAAATGGTCAGAATGTTTAGTTGATTTAAGTACTACATTAATCAAAACAAATTACAATACTTTTTTGTTCTGGAAATCCTAATAAAAGTTATTCATCTTGGCGTTAAATTAATGCTAATGCTAATCTGACATCCCTCATATAGATTAAAAATAGCATTCATTTTATTTAATAAATAGAAAAACTTTCATAGGAAATTTTACTACGCACTATTCTAGGAGATATGCAGAACTTCTATAGAACTCTATTTGCTTAAACTGTACTTATGACGTTCAATGTTACTGTTAGAAAAGCTCAAAACTGTGTCTTTGATTTTTTTCAATAAGACTTGAGCGGTGTTCTTCACTAATCAACCAACTCGAATTTTATGCTGTAAAAGAATCAATTAGTAATCTATTCATAAAGTTTGATACTGTAGCAAGCTTTTTTATTTTATACTATTTTGAGAATCATCGGTAAAAGTTTTAATTAACATGCACGGGTAGCACATCTTTTTTTGTCATTCATATTGAATGGAAATAAAATCAAGTTCATTGATTAGATTTGATTATTAAATGATGTTTTTCTTCGGGTTCATTACCTGACGGAAGATCGAAAAAATATCAATTAAAATCCAGTAAATCTATGCTCTTTTTCATAACTTTCAATTTACTCTTGTTGAACAGATAGACTGATTTTCAACAAATAGATGCTGGTATCACTAAAGTGCACGACATAATTTTAGCCCACTTTTTGTTTTTGCAATATCTTGGATGTGGATGTGGCTGCGGGTGTTGATATGAATGTAGATTTTCTCGTCATCGATACCCATATCTATACCGCTTGACAATGTTGCAGGTTGTCGAAAATAATGGCCATTATATTGTTGATTGATGTTGCATATTTTTGTTGTAAAATAAATTTGGTGGTGAACAAAAAAACCTGCAGAACTTATGTTACAATCCAATACTTTTGAGAGTGAACTACGCTGGAAAAAAGTGCTATCGTTCGAATTCAAAGCAAAGTTTCTGACTTTAGAATCTAAAGACATGACGATGGATTTTACTCAACGGTACATATTCTTGTTTAAAACTTTGTTCTTTGCCTGGCTAGCTAGTTTAAAAGGTCAAAAACTTTAGTTTTAGGGTCAGAAATTTGGAAAAATCAAAATTAGCCTTGTTTTTCGAAAATTTCTTTTGAGAAAACTGATCTAGAAGATCCACCATTTTCAACTTTCAAATACATCAACTTATGCAGTTTTTCACATTCTTTCTCTTGGTGTATAGTACATCTGGGTCGAAAATAGTTTGAAGGGAAAAAATGATGGTTTTCCATTTTTCTCACTGCTTTCCAGCAAAAACGATTTTCGTAGGTAAACATATACTCAAAAGTTAAACATTTTATCATCAAATAGCCTGTGAAATTCTCTATCAGAACTTGCGTATTAGGTTTATTGCTTTTTCGAAAAATCAGTGTTTTTCATCTAACATTGTCAAACTTGGTCGCAGTTTCATGATTTTTTCAGAGAATATAGCACTCACTGTTGACTACATTTTGGTAAAAAAATGAGTCCTCTCTCTGGTAAGAAAGACAAGATATTGTATATAAGAACCGTATGTTCCAAAGTAAACAGTAGGGCGAATTCATTTTTCGAATTCTTATTCACTAAAGTATTGATAAATAAGCTGATATTTTCACATGCATGGTCATTATGAAATGAATGTGTACTGGAAAAATCACAGGAATCAATACTTGTATCTTTGAGCAAGAGCACATGTTGCTTTTTAATAATCAATCAGTATGTTAAACAAATTCATATCCTCGATAAGAAACAATGATTTATCTTCAAACTCTGTAATCTTAATCAGTATTGAGTGTCTTAGTATTGATATAAATTTGAGTCATATCAGAGCGTGTTTAGTTAAGATTCGAATATATTAGTACAAAATTGCAGCAAAACTCGTAATAGTAATAATGTATCTCTGCTCAGGAGGTCTGGAAAATTAAACCATTGTAAGGCTGTTAATAACTTACTGAGGTCTATCGTTTGAACATATATTCAATCGAAGAACGATTTGACAGTTGGAGATATTCGTTAGTGAGTTAGATTTTATAGAAGACATTTAAATACCATGAATTGTGGGTAATTATTTCGGAGTGAATATTCACAATACTTATAAACAATCCTCTCACTACCATTCTGAAGACGGCAGCACCACAAATTTTCATGTTTATTATTACTTGTTTGTCATTTTTTTTTGTCAACCTCATTTAGTTCAGCTGACATTGAATAGTCTTTTTCTGCTAAAGGTTTAGCATTTACTGGATGTCATTTCTCACTTGATCGTAATACTATTAATGGTATTTTTTGTCTGTCAGATTCATTTAAAATGTTTATAAACAGAAGACAGATTTTTTTCTCAATATTATTGACTTTTTATTTTTTCACTGCTCTATGTAACACAAATTACCAACTAGAAAAATCTTCTTACAGTAAACGATTTTTGTTCTACTCCTATTCCTCCACGTTCTCGTGCACACATAATAAGAAAATACATTAGAACGACGAACGCTTTTGCACATTCACATTACAAAGTTTTTACTATATAAATCTCAACCGATTACAGCGACTTGTTTAACTTTCCCTAGAGATTCATAATCGATTCGGTTTTATTTTATTTATCATACCGACAAGAACAAAATAGACAGACTCTTATGGACAGGTTGGTGAGAATGATAAATGAATAGGTTAGATCGAAGAAAGGATATGAGAGGCAGAGGCATGCTCGAAAGCATGTAGACTTGTCAAAGATAGGTGAAACCTGGAAAAAGTTGGACTGATTGATTCTCATGTGAATAAATAAATAAATATATATATAAATATATATATGTAACCAAGCTTTATTTTCGAAAATGTATATTAGTTCACGCACATCGACTTCATACATGAAGCTTTATTGACAAAAGCATAATAATAACACAAGAATATAATTAAGAAAATCTTGTTTCAATAATAGAGCAATACAGAAAACATGTTTTCATATTAGCACAGCAGTACAAAAAGCGACAAGCAAGTTTAGTATGAAAGCAATAGAGAGAAAAAATAATTGTCAACTTCAACGAGACGATCCATTTGCGCACTTTCTAAGTCATTGTATAGTAGGAAGGCGAAGGACAAAGTCGCTCAAGTTCCAATCATTAAGAAACCAAAGCTAGAAAATTATAGGATATGTGATTAAAACTGTTATGAAATATTTTTTGATAAAAGAATATTACCACTAGAGCGATAGATATTGCAATTGTTGATGAATGTGTACTACTTGACTTCGACGAAGTTTGCAATGATGTTGTGTGATCCGTTGTTGTTATCGCTGTTGTTGTTGTCGCTGTTGTCGTTATCGCTGTTGTTGAAGTTTCATCTGAAGTAATTTCAATATAAAAAGCAATGAATTGCAATTAGTAAAACATTTCCTACTCACCAAAACTACTAAGTATCTGAAATTTCTGTACTCGATTATTGTATACATCGCTAACAAAAAGAGATCCATAGCTATCGAATGCCAATGAAAACGGCCCATTCAGCGTATCAATTCCATTTCCGCCAATACCAGTACAAGCCGCAATACATTCACCAGAATTCGAATTTGGTGGCCATCGAAGAATTCGATTGTTTCCAGAATCCGTTATATACATGTATCCATTTGAGTCAATAACAATTCCTCTCGGATACGATAGCTCAGATAAACTATTGCCACTAACTCCAGTGCCTGCTACTGTCACACCAGAAGAAGCTCCATTATTCCATTTTTGGATGCGATGGTTGAGAGTATCTGCAACATACAAGATTCCCGCTTCATTGACAAACATTCCTTTTGGTGCATATAACTGCGAAGCGCTACTTCCACTGGTACCATTTCCGGCGACCATCACACCAGCCATACCACTTAATGAGTTCGATAAATAACGAACCATTCTACTATTGTCATTATCACTCACATACAAGTTCTCATTACTGTCGACAAATATATGGAAGCAAAAGCCGATTGTTGATGTATCTTGACTGTTTCCGTATACACCCATAATTCCAGCAATGGTGACTGGATTTGTTCTATTTTTGAATAATTTTACCACGCGAAAATTGAATGTGTCTAAGATGTAGATATATTTTTGAGTGACGAAAACATCATAAGGATAATTCAATAGAGGACTTGAGTCAGATGCATTTTCAATGACTGCTATAGCCGTAGTTGAGTTGGACCCAATTACAACAACTCGATTATTGAACATATCAGCGATGTAGAGATTATTATCATTTGTAATGCTTATTCCTTGATTCAGAAAGAGAGCAGATAGAGATGATTCAGGTATGCTATCTGCCAATCCTGCCACTCTGTTAGCGTTCTGAGCTCAAAGTGCAGAAGGTGATAGATTTGGTATTGCTAAACACAACATACAAGTGTTGACATTAACTAGGTTTTCTTTTAAAGTACATGAATATTTTCTATTATACTATTCAATGCCTATGAATATTGAAGTGCAGATAAATAATATGAAAACATTTCGATGAATTCTTTCATATAGAACTTTCTGTATTTGTATCTTTGAATGCTTTTCAAAATTCTTTTCATTTAAATCTCTGCAGCAAAAAATATTTTTATTTTTTCTATTTCAATAAAAATAAATGTACTGAAAATGAGGTTGTCTGCTTCTTCTGCATGATTTGTATTTAATAGCATTAGAGCTCTTCCAGTAATGATTATTAGACAAATTGAGACAAAGTAAGTGCTTATGATGACTAGACACTAATCGTCTGTTCATTATTTATCATTTTATATCTTTTTATTTTCTTCTTTTTCTTTTGCTATTCAAGTCATTCCTTGATTTTTTACATCTACTGAGTAGATATAAAGTTGAAGAGAGTGTGTTCAAAAACTTCTCTCCTTCATTTAAAAGAGCTTCTATCTGAGGATCAATAGAAAAAGAAAGGTGGTCTTAATCTTGACTATCAGAGTGATATTCAAAAAACATATACTTCGTATCGTAATGTATTTTCGTTGCAACAATGTTGAAGAATATTCTCATACTTCTAAAATCACAAAAAAAATATATTATTTTCTTCCAAAGACGGAGCATTTTACAGGAAAAACTAAAAAAAGGAGACGTCCTTATTATCATGGAGATGACGAATTCGCTTTTGTTTCTTCTATTTCTCCTATCCTGATCTCTATTAGTTGAACCATTTTTTTTGTATTTAAGCGTCAATGAGTGTTAGGATCTCATAACAAAGACAAATGTTGATGTAATAGTCGCTGGATGAGAAAGACATTATATTTCTTACCGCCGGTGCAATGCACAAATATCATTGTAAGCATCCAAAAGCCAATAGTTGTCGTAGATGAGGTGCACATAAGCATTTTCTGTTCAGATCACAATAACCGTGAACAAAGTCGCTTAGGTAATACCTTTATTCTTGGCAAAGAGCGATTTTTCACGAAAGAATTTTTCTAATAAAATATGTGTACAAAAGTCATTATTTCGAATAGAATTGAATATCTTGTCGCGTTCATTCACGTGAATGAGTTGATTTTTGTATTATTAATAAAAAAAATATCTATAGCTACTGTTCATGAAGAAAATCTTTACTAAAATAGTTTCAAACAGTAATCTGACGACCTAATAGGAAAAAGGAATTTTGTTCATCATTTCTACGAATAGTGCTTAATATTTACTATAATGTTTCGTATCTTGTTCATTCAGTGTAATCACTCACTTTGAACGATAAAAAGAGAAAGATATGGTCAATGTACTATTGTAGGTATTGATGAATGATTAATATCGGTATCATTCATTTAGATCATGAGGATAACTTAGATAAAATCTATTACAAGTGGCTGAAAAGGTTTCTTCTTTCTATTGAGCCCGATGACGGCATTTTGAAACTCTTTTGATAAAGACCTTTGTCATGAATATTAGCTATGAATATTTTCTCTATTAATAGCGAAAAAATCAACTCATTCTTGCAAAATAAGGTAGTGAAATATTCGATTTCTTTTTCACTTGTTGCAGATGATTTCATACTGAGTATATAGTCTGAGATGAATTTTTTGCAGTAATGTTCGGATTTTCAAAAAGAAAAAGATATTTCCTTCATGAATAATCAAATTTAAGAAACTGTTCCTATAGAAAAACTATATAAGCAAGAAATAATAAAGCTATCAAGACAAAAGAAGTGAATTTCTGGGAAATATCGATAACTAATCTTATAGCAAAAGAAGATTTGTAGGATACTACTGAATAACTTTCAAATACTTTCGATAATAAGCACTCCAAAAAATGAAAATTTCTAACTATTTTCAAAATCTAAATATTGAAAAAGGAATACTATTCAGAAATTTCTGCAAAAAATGTTTCAGGAAAAAACAAAAATAATTCATGGCAATCATCCATCTAATTTCAGCATCTATCTGTGAAAGTACTATCAAACTTCATTAAATACATAAATTACTATATATTGATTCTATATGAATATCAATGTATTTTCATGCGAAGTACAAAGACCTACCCTTAAAATTATTGATAGTTTGAGAAATTAACTAGAAATTTTGGAAATTATTTTTTATTTATCCATTAACAAATCTATCTATTGTATTATTAAGAAGAAGATGTTACCTTTTCAAATATTAGAACCTTTCGAAATCTGTTAATAATTTCTAAGATTACTAATATTTTAGAGGGTAGAGTTCTCTATCTAATATTAAGCCTCTTCGCCTGTCAAAAATCGATCTTAGGTCAGATATATTCAAGATGTATGAAATTTTCAAGATATGTTATTTCTGTAATGAGGAGGCTTTGCTATAATTTTTATCCTTATATCATGATGTTCTGGAGATATATTCAACAATCAAGGGACAAAAATAGCTCACTGGACAGTGCTGAATTCTCGAGCAGCCGTCATTGTATCAACTTGATTTTTTTTGTTTGAAAAAGCATGTTAGAATGCAGGATATGATACTTCTTTCTTTTTTCTTACTTTTTAAACGGAGAAACGGTAGAAAATTTCACTGGCTGTAGTAGTTCATAAAAATACAGTCTAATTATGAAGGTACTGTTTTATATAATACCAGCAGTGCTTATTTCAAAACAAGAAATCAATCATGCGTTGCATCTTGGCGTCCGCTTTCAAACAAAATGAAATGCATAGAATGGTGAAATACAAAGAATTCTGAGTTTCACGATGAAAAAAGTATAAATAGAGAAAAAGCAAAAAAAAAGATTTCCTCCTTTTTCGAATAAAAAGCATATGTGTCAAGCAGAAAATGATGGAAATGATCTAAACTTTTGGAGAAATGACATTTCGAATAAAAAGATATGTTGTTTATGAAAGATCAAACGTCAGGCTACTTTTCATACATTTATCTCTATTTCTATTTTGTAGGGTGAGGTTTAACAGGCTAGTAAGAGTAATGATATGGGAATAGAATTTCAATAGAGAAAGGAAAGAAAAAACTAATATCGATAATGAAGCCAATAATGAATAAATTATTTCAATCTCTCTCTCTCTCTCTCTCGTTTTTAATATTCCGTAAATGAGTTTGCCGTTCATATCATTAATAATCATCGTGAGAAAAATTTAGAAACTACTATAGTTGATTTATGCTGTTGATTCTTACCGGAGTAGATTGACAGCAAGTGAGGATATCGAGTGAATGTAGATAAACAAAAATCTATCTCAACTCTTACTTATTTTCTATTCATATTTTTTGATTCAAAATCTACAAATACTAATTCTAGAGTGTATTATATGATTGTCGAGAGAAAAATGCCAACGTTAGTGCATTCAAAATGACCAAAAAATTGTAATTAGAAAGTAGTATATGTTGCTATAGTGAGCTGGAAGAACACTTGAATAATTAATTGTAAATTATTTTTTTGTACTTTAAGAAAACGATTTCTCAAATGATGAGAACACTTTTTTGATTGCCATTCATTGTTTTAGACGTCTAACATGAAATTTATAGTATAGTATTCATAAAAAAGAGTTTCATTGCCTAATACTATTCTCGATCAATTCAAAGAAGAATATAAGAGTGCCTATTTTCTTGGCTACAAAGCATTATGAAGACACTCTTGATTGGATTAGAAAAACAAAAGTACTATTTGTTTTCAGCAGATAGGTAGGAGACACAGTTTATCATCCAGAGAACATCACAGAGAACACCAATTTGTCAGATAGTGTAGACTCTTCTAAGAGAGCGCTAATCTTTGAACTACTTCATTGATTCAATCGGCTTGGGACCTTCTGCATTGTCCTACCTCTCGTATTTACGTGTTAAGTAAGTGTTACCCAATCGATCACTATCATACATCTGAAGTTCTACCATTTCCGGAAGTTCATTTGTCACTATCATCAAATGCTCACTTGTCCGTTCGAGAATATTGCGTTTGTGGGCAGTACCCCTAATTGGAACAACTTTTTCGCGGATTGAAAATTTTTCTTTTTTTCAAGTTATTTTTAAAGAAACTTATGAAGTTCCTATATTATTGAGTGAAAAAATGTGTGCTGAATCGAACAATTCAAAAACTGTTCAATTATTTTAAAAATTAGCTCAATCATTAGTAGTAGCTAGCAAGTTATTGGCTTCTTCCTTATTAAGAATCACTATGTGAAATACATAGAAAATTAAATATTTTTAGTAAAGGAAATTTCTTCCTTTTCTGAACTTGAAAATTTATTCGTACTTCGATAACAAAAAAAATATTCCTTAATGGATACTTCATTAACTTGCAATGGTATAAAGCAAGCAGAGTTTTTCTTTTTTATCTGTAATATCAATTTAAAATTATGCCTTTACTATTAAATAGCGAACTATGATAACTTAATTTTAGCTTCATTTCGATAAAAAATATAAAAAGTTGAGCTGTATCTACACGTTTTTTTTTACAATTGTGCTTGTTTTATTTTAAAGATAAGTCATGGAATATTTTCGTTAAGTGTCTTGAACAATCGTATATTCGACACAATATTGATGAAAGACAATAATTGCAAGTAAGAATCAAACTAAATTGAATTCAATTAAGTAATGGATCACAAAATTGAAGAACAATTTGTTACTATTGTTCAATTCATCTTGATTTATGTATTTCAATATATTACACATGTGTGTTGTAGACAAAATTGAATTTAGTTTAAAAAAACTTAGGCAAATTTTGTTTTTGATCAGACGAAAAACTACAAAATAATATTTTATTATTTAAAACTAAATTCTGACTTTTAAACTATATTAACACAACATAGTGCGTACTTGTTATTTGTAAATAGGCAGAGTATTCATTTTTACAAATTGGTATTTTAATATGCATATGCCTAACATCTGCATTGCTATCAGAATATAATATTGTAAAGTATTTTTCTGAGCAATTAAATTGATATAATAATTGTTTGAGTGTCCAATTCTGAGAAAAGACATTTATTATTTTACCATAGAAAATACATAAGCAAAAAAAAGTCCTTCATTGTTTTTGGTCAGAATATAACTCAATAACAGTTAACAACATAATATATTCATACTTTAAATACCATGTAAAGTGGCGGATAAAATTTTAAGGCACCTTTTGTTTTTCGATTTTTTGGGTGGGTGTGGGTGTGGAGAAAAGGGAACATTCATACTCACACCTACACACCCACATCCCAAATCTGATTTGAATATTGAGCATTCAAATGACTTTTTATATATTTTGATACTGCTGACTGAATTGACACATGTATGCTATAATATCTTTTAATACTTCTTTCTTCTTCATACTTCTGTTCGAAATTGAATCATATAACAAAGTCTAGAAGGACATTTTGAAAAGACGAAATATCTTGTTTATTTTGATATTTGTTCAAATTCCAATGATCATTAATACGAGGATGTATATAAATATAATCAATTCGTGTTCCATAAGGACATGTTGCTACTTGTTCATTCTTCAATGTTGGATTTATCTTTTTAAAAGCATCTTGATAATTCCATTCATGTGTTATTAATTGAGTTAAATCAAAACGAGGTTTTTCTCAATTAGATTTTTCACATCTTTCAACAACGATATTACTATAATAATCATCTGAATAATCTTCTCTTGTCAATGCATTCATATCACCCATTAGTATATCAATATTATGTTCATATGAATTAAATTCTTTCATTTGTTTTAATCGATCATCTTCATCTAAATAATCGAAATGTGTTACAGCAAGTGTTACATTTTGAATAGCATCTAAACAACATTGAAGTATAGATCTGAAGCCACCTTCGGAATGAAAACTTGTTTTCTGAACAGAATAACATCGAATTGGATATCGAGAAGCAATACCATTACAAAAAGTTGCATTAGATGGTCCATATACAGAAAAAGGTAAAGAAAGACGTTGAGAAAATTTCTTCTATTTATCATTATTTTGCATTTCTTGAACGGCAATTATATCGAGATTGAATGGTTCAAGAATTGATATTAATTCAGAGATATTAATTGAAATACTAGAAGGTCTATGAAAAGAATGTACATTGATTGTTGCTAAACGGAATATTGTCATTATGTATGAAGAAGTCAAATGAATCGTATAACAATATGCTTTTTTTATTTGCTTTTTGCATAAGATATGAGTACGTTCTCTTTTCTTTTGTTTTTTGTTTTTGATTGATGTGTGTCAAGGTTAATATTATTCTTTACTCATGCTATCGATTAAAAATCATGTTAAATTATTCTTCTTAACATTCAACAAAAAAATTCTTTTTCATTTCTGAAGTGACAACTCAGATTAACGAAGTTCTTATGAATTCGATTCATCATGTCAACCTTAAAACAAAATATCATAAAACGTCTAGACGATTTGCTAGTGACATAACCAAGGAGTGGTTGGGAAACTGAACCTTCACTGAATGAAGCCTCACCAGCTAAACTCTGCTACGATTCCTATTACTGACATAATGCTCGATCGTCTGAACCCTTTGCCGTCAAAATTCTGGCTAGGCCACTATGATTTGCAGACTCGAATGTGTAGATATGCAATATCTATTATTCTATTTTACTGGTCTTTTCTATTTATCATACAAATCGAAATATAGCTTAATAATCAACTGGTTATGAGCAAACTTGTAGTCTGAGAACACTATTACGCACGATCAAAGTAAACGAACAATATGAAAATTACTTTGTAGTTAAAATAGTTCTTAGAAAATTTTTAACAAAAAACAAACTACAATCGCATTAAATCCGCTCGAAGATAATGATCTTCGAGCATGGTTTTGTGTTGATGTACTTGTAGACATTGTTGATGTTGTCAATATTACTGTTGTTGTTGATGATGTGATTGTTTGCAATGTCGAAGTACTAGTAGTCGTTATAATTTGAGTTGTAGTGGTGATGGCAGTACTAACAGTTGTGGTTATTGTTGTTGTTGATATTGAAGTAGTTGTTGGAGAAAGAGTACTACAATGTTCTATTGCAATATCATCAAGAGCCATTGAAACTACTACTGGTGGTTGTTGATAAACCGTAAAATAAAAAGATTCCATACATACAACATTGGGTACGGGCAGTATAATAACTTGTCATCCTTGACTATCATCCGACGATATATGCCACAAAGTTGAACCGTGACAACCACCTACTGTTAAACTTAACGTTGTACCATTTTTATTGTCTATTGATGATTTAATATAATAAGCAAATTGAATACACATACTCAAATCTACTACCATTGGTTTTGGAGGATGAATATAGCCTAAATCTGTTGGAGTAAAAGATAACTGTCGATCCCAGTAGATGAAACCACCTGTTGATGAATTACTCGTATGATCTCGTGTTGGACCTAACTTTTGATTAGGAACAGTGTCACCAGTAACGATAGTAAAATTATGTGTAGGTCTAGTAGAACGATCGCCATTCTCCATTTCACACATGGTCAAATTATCAAAATTACATGAAAAAGAAAGAAGACCAGCGTTATCATCAGTAAATGTTGAAGGAGGATAATCACATGATGTTATAGAGATGTTGTCTAAAGCGAATGAATAGGGATTAGTATCAGTAGTATCCACACGAAATAGTAATGAATAATAACCAATAGGCAAATTTACAATACCCCAAATCCTGTGCGATGAAAAAATATATTCGATCAACAACTAATTATATTCTTTAAAAACCATAACTTACCATTTATCGCGAGTATATCTTAAAATCAATAAAATGAATTATTATCTTTGAAATTTCGTTCGAGTGTTGATGTAACTTACATATGTTGACGATCAATCGGTGGCCACAACTTTTGCACCGTTTCAGATGACTCTAACAGCTGTGCATATACAGGTGCGGGTGTGGGTTTGGGTATGGAGTATGGATGTTGGCAGTGTCTCTTCT